TTAAACTTTAGTCTGCAATAGTTACTTGCCCAAAGACATTCAGACCTAGAAGATGGTTGCTTTAGAACTAGTTTTGCAGGTGAGCAAGGAGATCACAGCCACAAATATGCTCCATCTCCAGCCCACTACATCTACTGCACTATTCAGTGGTTTCTGGTTTACTTGCATATGAAATGACAAATTATAGTATGGGGAAAAAAACTTACTTGCCAAAGGATCAAGCACTCTCGAGTTTGCTTTTTTAAGAATGCATCTTCCAACAAACGCAGGAAAATATTTACAAGTGTTATTCAAAGGTGCCTTTCAAATCACACTAATATGCGGATTCCAAGTGTCCTAACTGAACAGCTCCTACAAGGAGAGCAATACGTTTATATAAAAAGCCTTCAAAAAAGAAAAAGACTTAGAAGAGTAATAGGAAGACCTTTCTGAAAGCACATAAAAGTAAAATAGCATTGGTAGACTGTCTGAATGTTATTCATAAAAAGACACTCAGTTTTCCCTTTTATAAGAAATACTATAGAGTTCAAGAGAACAACATAGATATTTATCATACTCTGCCCTTTAAAAATCAAAGATAACCAATTATACCCAAGTTCTCTCTCATGCTTGATTCTTAAGAAGAAAAAGATTAGGGAAAGGAGAGTGACCTTTACAATTTCTCTTTCCATTCCTTCATTTATTTTGCTTGTTCAGTTATATGCTTTTTATGTAACATCAAGTGCATCTGCAAACAGAAACACGTTTATCAAAAAGCACAGATTAGGGCTGCTGATACAGACACAGATCATGTAATTTCTCTGAGAAATCCTCTAGGATCCTAGCACAAAAACACAGGTTTATGTGGGGGTGGGGAGCAGAAAGGCCGACCTAGTTCATGAGTTTTCCTCAGCTCTTCCAGCTTTATTCAATAAAATTTACAAACAATTATGCAACAGCAGCAAAGCCCAGAAGGAAAACCTCACATTCACCATATTTTCTTCATTTGGTGTTGAGCTCTCTCTGACACGTTACATACAAACTTACAGGGGAAAAAAAAGTCTGCCCTGAAACTATTTTGCAGGCTGAGTTTAAGTCCCTAATTAAAAATGGTTTATGTCACTTCTCACACAAAAGATGATCCAAGCTCAGGAAGGGAAAAAGTAAACGAATTAAAAAACTGAAACACACCTTCAACACAATGGAAGCAGAAAACTACCTCCAATTAAAAGACAAGTAAACTTATTTAGCTAGTTACCTGCTCAATCAAGAAAACGAACAGAAAAAAAACCCAACTCACCAACTGCTCTGCTATGCCAAAGAAAAGAAAAAGAAAAAATCCTTAATCTTCTCAATTAACTCATACATACCTACTATCTTGTATTTACTTTTTCAAAGATGGAACATATTTAAGCCTATCTTTGACTTAGTTTTTAGAATTGGAAACAGAAGAATTCTGGAGCAACATCTCTTTCAGACGAACCACCGCAAGTCTTAGACACCAACTCTAATAAAGTAGTATTTCAGTTCTGAATTAGTTATGTTGCACTCTCTAAAAAGAGAGGACCTAGCTGCAGTCTTTTATAAATCCATCAGTCTGGAAACAGACACAAACTGCTCTATGTATGTTGAAGACATACTCTGTACCTCATGAAGTTCAACAAAGTCAAGTGCGAGGTCCCACACACAGGCAGGGTGGAGAATGGCTTGAGAGCAGCCCTGAGGAGAAGGACTTGGGGGTGTTGGTAGATGAAAAACTGAACTTGAGCTGTCAGTGTGCAGAGTTGAGCTTTTGGCAGGGAGGTGGTTCTACACTGTGTTCGCTTTATGGTTCTGGATCGCTTTATGAATCTAGACTGCGTTCTAGATCGCTTCATGGCTCTAGATCAGGCTCCAGAGCTCATTCTGGATCACTTCGTGGTTCAGAATAGCATTCTAGGGCTGACACACTATGGTCCTAGACGGTGTTCTAGAGCTGATTCTAGAGCACTTTGTGTGTCTAGACAGTGTTCTAGTGCTCATTCTAGAGCTAACTCTAGATCACATTTCAGGTCCTAGGTGGCATTAGAGCTCATTCTAGATTTCTTTTGAGGTTCTGGATAGCATTCTAGAGCGGTCCGTGTAGTTGGATAGCGTTCTAGAGCTGATTCTAGGTATTTTTCTGGTTCTGGATAGCATTCTAGTGCTCATTCTCAGTTGCTTTATGGTTCTATATAGCATTCTAGAACTCATTTTAGATAGCATTCTACATCACTGTATGGTTCTAGATCAGTTTTCACGCTGGCTTAGGGCTCCACTGGGTTCCAAGGAGGGAGGACCTAGTTCAGGCAGCTGTTTTGGCATCTCGCAAGGATTTGGAATACTTCCTGATGATGAGAACAGTCTCAGTATGGTTTTTTCCTTTCTCATTTTTTTGCCTTGCATGCTTCTTTTCTTCTTTGTGGCTCTTTTGAGTTGAAGGCCTGTAGGATCATCCCATCAACTGCAGTTCTCCCAAGCTGCTAGCACGCTGACTCACCCTGCCTCTGGGGATCTTCTTTTCACTGGAGGCCCAAAAGGCCAACTGTATCCTGAGCTGCATCAAGAGAAGCGTGGCCACAAAGATGGTCAGAGGGCTGGAGCACCTCCCCTATGAGGCCAGGCTGAGAGAGTTGGGGTTGTTCAGCCTGGAGAAGGCTCCAGGGGGACCTTATAGTGGCCTTCCAGTACCTGAAGGGGGCTACAGGAGAGATGGGGAAGGACTTTTTACAAGGGCATGCAGCAACAGGACGAGGGGTAATGGATTCAAACTGGACGAGGGCAGATTTAAATTAGATATTAGGAAGAAATTCTTTACTGTAAGGATGGTGAGGCACTGGAACAGGTTGCCCAGGGAAGTTGTGGAGGTGTTCAAGGCCAGGCTGGATGAGGCTTTGAGCAACCTGGTCTAGTGGGAGGTGTCCCCGCCCATGGCAGGGGGGCTAGTACTAGATGATCTCTAAGGTCCCTTCCAACCCAAACTATTCTGTGATTCTATAAAAAGCTAATTGACGCTATTTTATAGCTTTCAGTATATAACTTGTTAATGTCTTAATAATAAATATATTTATCTTCAAATAAAACATATTTAAATTGAGACTTTGTACAAGCATTTGATCCTCCCCAAAAGAAGAGCCATGCTTTATCGTGAAAAGCAAAGAAGGGCCTCCTTACCCATACACCCATCCCAGAAAACACTTCTCAGTAGCTGTTTGTAAATTGCACTCAAACAAACATACTAAGACATTTCAAGACTGTAAAACAAAGGATTTCAAATTGTCAAGATACATCAGCAACACCAATCAACAGATGCTTCAGGAAGACCCTAGGATATGCAGATCATGCTAAGACCGCTTTCCAAGCAATAGGCAAAAGAAACCACAGAGTTCTGCAGTCAGCAGTAAAACTATCCCAAGGAAACCTCTTTCAAAAATTGACAAGTGTATTGTCACGGGACAATGGCTTGAATTTTAACTAGCCCATTCAATATACACAGTGAATCCCCAGGGTTATATTCTGTATGACTTTAACATTACCATTATGCCCATAAACTTTCACATTTCCAATTAATAATACACACTATACCTTGAAAGTAAATCCTTCCTTCTGGAAGGTCCTTGTGCTTTAAGGCATAAAGATGACTTTCAAAAATATACCTGCCGCTGCAAATACCATGTGGACTTCTTTTAATGAGCAAATATAAACACGTATAAAGATTTTTAAAACAGCATATCTGGAAAAGCTTGAGCTGTACCAGGCAAGGCAATTTTGAAGCAGTGCAACGTTGCGACAGGTCTAGCCCAACAGACCAGAATCTAGCTAGCTGCTGCCACCATCTCCTTAAGAAGAACTGGAAGCTCACCTAGAGTATCCACAGAAACCTTGTGCATCTCAGAAAGGCACACGACAGGGTACCAAAAGGCACATAATCACAGAGGCTTCAGGTCTTGTAGCCTAACAAAAACAGCGTTCCATCGGTCAACACTGACTTTCTGACTAATCAGGAGTCTGACCAGACTCCAGAGCTGCGTGCTGCCACTCCTTTATTTTCCCTCTTTACATGGACAAGACCTGCAGATGCAGCCTGGGCAGAAGAGAAGGAAAGAATTTTAGGAGGGCTGTTCGTATTTTGCACTCAGTAGATTCATTTCCTCCCCTTTCCAAGGTCTAAGTGCATAGTGCATAAGGCCCTTTTCTTGCACAAAGTGCAGCAGCCAGGATGAAAATCAGTGCATTTGAGGACAAGACTAGAGGCTTCTTCAATATTTCAGTTCAGTCCGTCACCTTGATGATACTATGAATACTCACAAGCAAAAATAAGTTCAGTAATAACTGCAAAGCAAGCATGCAGAGTGGAAAAACCCTACAGATTCTATAATTAGCTCTGCTAACAATAAATGAAGAGCCATACAGACGAGAAACATTGTGTTACCACTATTTGTGTGAAAGAGACTCCCTCTGTTTCCCTCCATTCTGAAGCAGCAGAAAAGACAGTCGCTGTTGCAAGGGACAGAAGACCTACTCTTCTGACATGAGCTTTGTGTCAAACTTTTTAGCCTTGTGTCCCCATAGGTTTAAGTGATAATGATTTAGAGACGCGTAGACTTAATAAAGAAAAGTTTGGCTCTATCAGTTACATGCACAGTACAAATAACGAACTCTCTTTTGAGGAGATGCACCTTTTTCATGTAACACTAAAGTAAAGTGATCAAGATACTTAGGAAAAATAATACTACTGATTATCCCAAGACAAAATACTGAGTGAGAAACTCTTACTTAACACATAATAAATTTCTACCTAAGATTTTAAAAAAAGTTTCAGGACATTGAGCATCTCAATAGAGAAATATAAAGTATCTGTATAAGAAACCTGAAAGAAAAACATCCCACATATCCACCGTATTTACATATTCCCCTACATGTCCCCATATTAAACCGTCCGTGTTTTAGCAGTTATTTACATCTTTATATTTGTACATTTTAAGTTAATAAGACATTCTTACCTGTATATCCTGCCCACCAGCCCCAGGAAGCCACCATAGCTAAAAGCCACTTAAATAACACTCCTTCGATATACCAGAAGCTTTTACTATCCAACATTCGGAGAGGCTGCAGCACAATTAAATACAAGACGTAGGATGGAATAGCAACCAGGTTATTGGCGACCATAAAAGCGAACCTGAGGAGTGCTTTCAGGCAGCTATAGCCCACTCGCTGGGCCTGCTCTAGAGTCACGGCCATTCTCTCCACAGCGGAGGGCGCGGGACCGTCCTGCGGAGAGAGGAGAAACAAGGCACAGGTAGCGCTTCCCGACCGGGGC